ATAGCACGTACAACACACAACGCACAATCCAGAATCAAAAATTCCTCTAGCATTTTTCTAATCCTTAAGCACTATTTCTGGACCTAACAACACCTAAAACTTGTCATTCATTTCAATAAATCTAAATAAGATTGTTTCAGCACTGTTTGATTTCATGGCCAAATTGCTATTTGAACCAATTTGAAAAATTCTCACCAGCAATTTTACCACAAAGAATGTTTGACTCGCAAATTTGAAATGATTATCAATAACAATTGAGCCCCAAATTGAATTCTTTGAAAAATAACATGTTTTTCAAAAAATTCAATTTGGCTTTCTCTCCTTATCACTCTCCCTTGCCCTCTGCACTACCGCCAACATCACCCAAATTGTTTGCTTCAAGAATCAATTGGCAGACATACATACCAGAGTTTCTAATCGAGTTCACTAAAAGATACTTTGGGAAAGCTAGGAATCTATGATATATATGCTCGAACTTGAGGGCGAGTGTGGTGAAGGTTATGGGGCCCGCGGCTATTAAAGTAACTTGCAATGGACTCTGAGCCTCATGCCCATTTTGGAAAGCTGCATGTGGTTGTAATGCACATTGACCAAAGATCCATGGACTTTTAAAAACTCAATATGCACCAAATATGTATAATATTCTACTATATTTGGATGATTTTCTTGCTCTAACTCCGATACATGTTGACCTGGATCGTAACTCCCATAAGGGATCCATGTATCTATATAGGGCACATTGTCCCACAATTTGTACAAAATGAAAAGACATCTATACTTGAATATTACTCTCTCTCTCTCTCTCTCTCTCAATCCTGAAGTAAAAGATGAGATGTAGAAATCTGTTCACTTTGGGCTTCAAATTGTTATTAGAGCCAATTGTTTGGCCCCTTGGCCTCCTCCTCGTTGCTAAACCTTGTCATCTTGCTTGAAGTTATTCCTTGTTGGGGTTGTCATAATTCTATTCACTGTTATTTGATGAGTGTTGGGTTCTCAATCTCCCACTTCTTTTTTCCTCTATTGGGGTCAATGCTCTTGTTTTGGTCTTATTCTGACTTATGGTGGTTTTGTGGTGATAATGGTTATGAATATCTCCGGTGCAAAAAGGAGGGCAAGCATGAACAATTGGATCCATTCTCTCTCTTACTTCTACTTTCTGTGCATACTACATGCTCCTTCCTCTCTTGAGAGCCCCTTTCTCTTGATCTAGACGAGAATGCAATCCGACTTTCTCTTTCCAACACGTCTTTTGAATAAGAGGATAGGAAATCTCTCTCTCTCTCTCTCTCTCTCTCTCTCTCT